ACACACGGGTTTTGCACTAATGCAGGCTACTCCAGTAACTGAAATCCCAGCCTGCAGTAGGTCTCAGGCTATTTTCTCTAACCTTTTCCGGCACACCACCTGAGAGCTAACACAGTGGAGGTTCTCATGATCACAGCTGTCTTAGGTAGAGGGCCCTTGAGCATTTTAAGCATCTGACAGCTGGGACATCTGTCAGAGTCAAAAAAGGGGAAGTGACACCTTGCAAGTCACTGAACCTAAGGGCACGTCTTCACTACCCGCCAGATTGGCGGGTAGCGATCGATCGGGGATCGATTTATCGCGTCTAGTGTAGATGCGATAAAATCAATCCCCGATCGCTCTGCCGTCGACTCCGGAACTCCACCGCAGTGAGAGGCGGAAGCGGAGTCAACGGGGGAGCGGCAGTGGTCGACTCGCCGCCGTCCTCACAGCCAGGTAAATCGACCTAAAATTCGCGTAGCTGAAGTTGCATATCTTAGGTCGAATCCCTCCCCCCCCCGCCTAAGTCAGAGTGGGCCAGCCATTGTCTGACTCCTGAGATGTTTATTCAGGCCATTGGGGCAGTGGACGACTTTCCTGCTTTTATTTGAATGCCTGATGTCAAACAGCTTACGATGCAATGACATGTTTCTGAAGCTCACTTCCCAGCGTGCCAGTGATCCTTAGCAATTAGCTTTTCATTGGCACATGCTGCAGTTTGGCAGGTTGCCATTATGAAGATGCACTTGATGCTCGCATGGGTTTAACCTCTGGAAGATGTTGAGTACTTTATGGGCTGGTGTATCTGGGGCATAGGAGGAGGAAATAATGTAACACACCAGCAGGCTCAGATGCAGAGGGGAGCATGGGGTCCTCGGAAACCATGGACCCAATCCCATTGTCCTTGCCAAGTCACGACTCCCACCAACTGTATCCTAATGAACCTTTTCTCTTGAGTACCTATCCCAATCACTGCCACACATGCAGCTATCATCCACTTAAATCTTGCAGACAGATATATCCAGAGCTACAGATAAACTAAGTATGGATCAACTAGGTTTGACTGAACCGGTACTCAACAACTATATTTAAAATAGTTTTGTGAAGGCAAAACCTGCATGTCTGTGGGTCACTTGCCATATTTTCAAGCTAATGAGTTTGACATACACAGTTTCTTCCTGGGAATCAAGGCAAAAAACCATGAACAGTGGACGTTGGAAGTTCACTTGAACTGAATATCCTTTCCACAGCTATTTGTGCACCGTGTAATTACATTTCTTCTTGATCACCTCTCTTTCAGAACAGGGAGACCCTGGTGCTCAGTGGAAGTTCCCTTTCCCAGAATCTGGAAGGTTTTGTGCACCTGCACCTCATGTGGCACTAATGCATCTCTGGAATCCCTCTGATTTCACACATGTCCAAGAAGATACTATCTGCTGTCTTCAGAGTGCTGTGCAAACGGCTGTCAATTAGTCAGCTCTTTTCTGAGGAAAGAATGAGAACCAAACAACCCATTCCTAAATTTATCCTAATCCACTGAGCTAAAAAAGCAGCCAAGGTCAACAATGAGGGTGGAAAAGGAAACAGGTCAGAAAGGATTTTGAATGTATTCGCATGTATCATGCCACTAAATGACTTTGTTTTACAGTACATATATCACTGACGACTTTGTAAATGTTTCGTACTTCAGCATATCTCCAGAACAAACAAAGCAATTTTATTCTCCCGTAACTGGTTCTGGGCTCTTTCCATACATTCCAATCTAGCAGTGTCACAGCTTCAGAGCAACGAGAGACAGAAAGGACCTGTTAGATCATCTAGTCCAGCTCCCTGCCAATGAAGGATTATTGCCTATCATTCACTGATTAGTACTTATATTGAAGGAAGAGTGCAACTTCCAGCAGGAGGAGATCATCCGCCTATTAGGACACAGGACCTGATAGAGGTCTCTACAAAGAGGATTGGAGTCCAAACATAAAAACACTGATGTAGCCATAATGTTGAGGGTTCAGCTCACTATGATGCTTTTGTCGGTCCATTTGTAGAACTTTTATTTTGTGTGAAAGTTGGAATGGAATTTTATAGGAGGGAGTTTTGTGGTTCTGATAAAGCCAGAGGCAGGTCCAAAGCACCCTGAGCACTGGAAGCGTTCACATCTGGATACAGCCACTGCAGTTCAGGCCCATCTCTCTGCAGTGTGTGGAGCAGGGGTTGTTCTTGTAACTTGAGGGTTTGAAAAGGACAGACCAGTAAGAGGCAACGTGAAAAGGATGAAAAATGCATTAACACCACATACGGGAAAGAATGGGCCACTGGAGTCTTAATTTGGTCGAAGGAGAGCAGTTGTAACATTACATTTCTCAGACAATAGAAAATACAGGACAGACATCTGTATTCAAGAGACACTATTTAAGGACTTCTTATACTTTTGAAAAACTGCTTGTTTGTTTCTTATTTGGAATCTTGGACGTTCTAAACGATGAGACCCGTCCCTGCTAATTCTGTCACTTTTCATTTGGCAAACTTTGTGCCCTTCCTGCATGCTGATAAAGGAACTTCAAAATTAACACGCCATTTCAATTTCCCTGCTGCTTCGCTCAACAGCTACACCACTGATGTCAACGCGTGTCTGAGAACAGTGTGTCAGTCACAGATGAGCACAAAATGCTGAAGAACCTACATCCACAGGCAACTGCTAAGAAGAAGAGGAAACAAAACCAAGAATTCTCACATATTTACACTGGGAACAAGGGAGACAGTTAGAATATTGCCATTTTGGGCATGGTCAATGCTATTTTCAGTTGCTGTACAGCTCTTAGATACTTCTGTGATAGATGCCTTAGAAACTGCTCAGCTAGATCTTATAACAAAGAAAGCCCAAATATTGTAGGTTGACTGGGTGTCTCTGGAAAAATAAGCAAAAAACAAAACTCTGGGCCTACTCTGCTCCCACCGAAATAAATGGGAATTTTAGACTTCAGTGCGAAGCAGGAGCTCTGCGAGCAGCAGAACCAGGATCAATGCCTGTTTCATGTCATTGATACAAACATACACAATGTGGTGTTTACATTCCATGCCTACGTTTCACACATGCGTATACTACACAAGCTGTGCATTATGATAGCTTATCTCTATGTTACAAGCATTTTCCAACTCATTAATCATGGGGTAGATCATAGCAAAATATCATGTTCCTAAAAGGGCTCATCTTTTACTTCCTTCATCTTTATCTCTGTAGACACGGATAAAGAAACTCTTGGATCTAATCAAAATTATTTTTTTTAACCCAAGTCCCTTTTTTGTTGTTGTTGCTACAATCGCCTGGAGAGAAACAATATGTTTCTTTTATGTTCTGGTTGATCGAGCACTTGAATCGAAGTCCCAGGAGTAAGATAACAGGCTGACTAGTTTAAATAAAAGAATACGGCTATGTCTACACAACAGCCTATGCCGACAAAACTTATGTTGCTCAGGAGTGTGACTATTCCACTTCCCTGAGTGACGTAAATTACACTGGCATAAGCCAGTCAGCACTATGAGCTTTTTCCACCAACGTAGCTTCTGCCACTTGCGGAGGTGGGTTTTTTATGCCGACGGGAGAGCTCTCTCCCATCAACATAGAACATCTTCATCAGAGGCGCAGCAATGTCACAGCTGTACCGATACAGCTGCAGCGCTGTATGATAGACATGGCCTAACTCATGACAAGCCTGTGCACGTGGAAACATGGCACCGCCAACCCCATCCTAAAAATGACAGAGAGGGAGAGGAGGAGCAAGGCTGACGAAGAAGGAAGAAAACCCTTATTGGGCATACAGAGTAAAAATCCCACCAAGGGATTTTTTTCCTAAGGTCCCAGCCCTGCAAAACCTTACACACATGTTAAACTTTAAGCTTTCGATAGGCCCCTGGACTTCAGAGGGACTGCTCCCTTGCTTAAAGTTAAGAACACGCATAAGTGCTTTGCTGGATCTGGTACTAAACTGGTCTAGCTTCCTTCTACCCCAAAGACTGCTCTAAGCCCTTGAACATTTGAAAACTCAATCTTTTTCTTAACTACAGGTTTTCCTTTAATAAGTACAGACATCGATTGGTCATTTTAGGGCTGTTCCTTAATTCTCTGCACAGTGTTCCTTGGACCTGACTGTGTTTGGGACGACTGGGAAGTACTTCCAGTAGTGCAGCACTCTGTAATTTTTCTTTAAAAGGGAGGAGGGGGGGATTTGTTTGAATTGTTTTTAAAATCACACCCAAAGAATTACAGGGGCTCTCCAAACCCTAAAGCCACTTTGCACCACTCTGGAAGATAAAGGGAGTCATAAAGTAGGGGTCTATGTAATACCTGAGTGGTTTAAAGGAGCCTTTATGTCAATGAAAATCAGGCCCAAAAAACAGGTCAAATTTGAGAGCTTCAAAAATTTGATAGTATCCGTTAAATCCTGTTACCACAATGATTTCTGAGCTTCACTACCTCCCATAATATATCATTGTAAAAACTGTTCACTGCCTGCTTTTACAGTCAGTGTAAAGAGAGCAAACTTCCAAACTCTCACTTCCCATAGTATTATTTTTCTCCTGCAATATTTATTATTATTACTTTTGCCATAGAGAATCTCATTGCAATTAGTCTGGTTTGCAATGGAGAACAGATGAAAGGAGAAATTCAATCAAATCCTTAGCACATATCGAAAGTGTTTTCACACCACACATCCCAAAAAGGTTTCCCAAAAATAATAAAGTAAAATCAAGAGCTCAAATACTTCACCCAGCCCAACAAATGCAGATTATGCCTGAATTTAAAGGGGAAGTGAAATGATTTTTCCTTCTACTCACCTGCCAAGTCCTGAGAGCTCAGGGCTCTCTGTGTTTCTTTCAGCACTTGAGATCAGAAACACCCAAGGCTGAGTGGAGAGATTTCACCTTACACTGGTTTTATTCATTATTTGTGAAGTGCTGACAAATGTATTCAATGCTCTACACTGCACATAAACAGTCCTTGCCCCAAGGAGTTTACAGTCTACAGCCCTGATCCTGCATGTTGTGCTATGTGGGAGGATCATCACTGATTTCAGCGAGCCCAGTCCGACTCTGAGTGGCAGTTTTCAATAGGCAATCTTTCCTTTGCTTTTAATAAGGGATGGATCAGGCCCAGACATATTAGAGGTGTGATTAATGATTGTCGGAGAAAAGCAAAGTCTTGGCATGTATGGCAAGGAGCAGAGGAAGTGATTCTCTCAACTATTTTGTTTTTTAATACTTTTTTTTAATGTTGCCATACAGTATGATTTGGGATCTCAAACAGCTCCCTTCCTTTTCACTTTACCTTTCAGTCTCGCAAGGCAGAGAGAAGTAGGCAACTTCTACTCCCGGGGGGATTGGCAGCTATTGTAAATGTGAAGGCTGGGGGAAGCTGGGGAAAGTTTTTTTTTTCTGGAATTTTGTGCCACGTTTTTCACCTGCTCAGGCTTTCCATTTTCTGTGATCGTCTGAGGGCCCAAAACATTCCCACGCATCACTTGAGCAATTGACTTCTCATCCAAAATACTGCAATTTCCATACCTACCATGTTTGCACCAAGTTACTACGCCCGCCCCCTCTGTTGACTGCGGCTTGTGGAGGAGAGCTACAGCGCAACACAAGACATCCAGAGACACACAGGAGATCAGGGGAGGACAGAAGGAGCCAGGGATATAATCACTCTGGTACCATCCCCAGATGAACCATGGAGCTCTGTCCCGCATCCTGCACATGCCAATCAAAGCAGAGTGCTGGCTTTGAACCTTGGTAAGGGCTATGTGTTGTTATGACACCAGAATGTAGGGCCTCCAGAGCAAGTTTGGGTTAAGGATAGAATGGCTATTGTTATAGCTGGGGCAACAGATAAACCCTTACGTTTCCCACCAGGATCCCATGGAGTGCCCAAAGCCTGCCTGATTTATACACTATGGCTCCAAGGGGGACAAAATAAAAACACTCACAACCCATTGGCATGTCCAAGCAACAAGCCAGTCTCACCATGCAGTAGACAGATGAAGTGGGAAACGCACATTCTAAACCCGTCTCAGTACAGCCAAGGACTAGATCTAATGACTGGGAAGTCTCCAAAGGTTCAGGGTTCAGATGCTTATCAGAGCTGTGCAGGATCCCACCAGGTCATGCTGCCCTTTGCTCACCCCCCATGAATCTACCCCCACCCCTCCTTCCAGCCCTACCTGGTGTTGTCTTCTTGCAGGGAAGGACTAGTGGCCTCTTATCCACTTCTGGCATCTTTGGAGGCTGGTTTTCTCTCTCCTCTGGTGTCCTCGTGGGGAGTTTCCAAGTAGAGCCAATGCTGGTGTTCAGGTGGAAAGGGTGCTAAGCCCTCTCCCATTCCCCAGCATAGAGCCTCTTCCTGAGGCTGCCACTGATAGTTTATCCAGCTGGCTCAGGGACCACACCAAAAATGCAGCCACTTCCTCCAAGAGAAGAAGTCAAAATGGCTCTGTTAACCCTCCTGACCACATGAAGTAGCCTCAGCCAACCAGGAAAGCAGAATCAATACCATGTGATTGTGACCAGTCACAGTCAACCAACCTCTTAGGAAATGTGAAAGCTGACCACCAAAATTTACTATAGCCAATTTTCACAGTGGCCCCAAACACAACATTTTACATGCATCCTTCCGCTGAGAAAAGGCTAAAAAAATGAATACAATTGTTTCTGTTTCACAAGCATTTTTAGGGGTCGCAAAACAAGCAAACTTTGACAAAAACAGTTTTCACTGAAACTTACTCACCCTGCTCGCCTCAAAACACTGCTTGGGTATTTAGTAGGGCTGCAACTCTGGCCTACAAGACAGAACAACAATATTGACTCCCTTTGCAGGGCCACATCTTATTATTTCAATAAAACATAGGCCTGCTCTTAATCAAAGCTAACAAAAAAAAAAAAACTATTTGCAGTTACTGAAGGTCCATTTACAATTAAAGACCAGTTTAAAGGGTATTTTAAAATCCTTTTGTACCCCTTCACCAGCTACAATAACCCCTCAGAAGTTTGAAACGTAAATATCTTTCTTCCCTAAGTTTTTAACCATTCGTCATGCATACACACCCGCGCAGGTTTGATCAGTGCTGGGCTATTGGTTGTATATGTGTTGCCCGCCCCCAGTAAAAAGGGGTGTTCTGAGGTATTTACTTTGGAAAAAAAAAATTACAAACACAAAATTTGTGGCCTGCCAACTACACCAACATCCTTTTAATATGCAGCAAAGTAGTTTGGGAACCCTGGGTCTATCTAGAAGGACATTACAACTTCTAATCTATAAGCACTTCCATCTGCTGTCATTGTCTCAGGACGGGGGCTTGTCCACCTCAGGGATTTTTGAAATGGTGTATCTCCACCAGAGCAAAGGTCCAGTGTAGAGGTCGTGTGGAGATAACTGTGACGTTGCAGTCTATATAATTTTATAAAAATATGCTAATGAGTGAATATAATGTAACTGGAATATGCTTCATACAAAAGGTCTCTCGTAAGGTATCATTACAAAGCTTATAATCTACTGAGTGTGATCATCCTATTTGTATAAATGTACCACTCTTGTATCTGAAACTAGAAATATGAAATATAATTCTGAGGGCCAATTGTAATTATGCAAAATGTGGGCCATTGAAGGTGGTTTGGAATCTTGATGACTCCCATTAACCAGGACAATTGTCTGCAGATGGGTGTGTTTTACCTTCCTCTATATGTGTGTGCTGGCAAGTGGGAATGAAGTCTTACAGTGACATGTGATCATGTCACCTTAACTGGAATCCATCTTTAACCTGATGTCTTTCCATTGAGAAGGAAGGGGTGGGAACCCAGAGAGGGACAAAGGGTTCCCGCCTTATGCAAAAGATCTATAAAGGGGTGGAACAGAACAAAGAGGGGAGAGGAGCCATCATGAAGAATCCCCTAGCTACCACCCAAGCTGAAACAAGAGCTGTACCAGGGGAAAGAATTGTGCCCAGGCCGGGAAGGTGTCCAGTCTGAGGAAAAAACTTACTGAAGCATCTCTGAGGGTGAGATTATCTGTATTCAGTTTGATTAGACATAGATTTGTGCATTTGTCTGTTACTACTTGGAACCACTTAAATCCTACTTTCTGTATTTAATAAAATCATTTTTTACTTATTAACGAACTCAGAGTATGCATTAATACCTGGGGGAGCAAACAACTGTGCATATCTCTCTATCAGTGTTATAGAGGGCGAACAATTTATGAGTTTAACCTGTATAAGCTTTATGCAGGGTAAAACGGATTTATTTGGGTTTAGACCCCATTGGGAGTTGGGCATCTGAGTGTTAAAGACACGAACACTTCTGTTAGCTGCTTTCAGGTAAACCTGCAGCTTTGGGGCAAGTAATTCAGACCCTGGGTCTGTGTTGGAGCAGACAGGTGTGTCTGGCTCAGCAAGACACGGTGCTGTGGTCCTGAGCTGGCAGGGAAAGCAGGGACAGAAGTAGTCTTGGCACATCGGGTGGCAGCTCCCAAGGGGGGTTCTGTGATCCAACCCATCACAGCGTCACTGTGGGACTTGTAGCAGGATGATTTACCCCACTTTCAAATTGGGGCGGGTCACCCTGGAAAAAGCCTGGCTTTGCATCAGTGCAGAGCATCTATGCTGAGGATTTGCATGAGCGTAGTCAGACCAGTACAAACATCCCTAATGCAACCTAGCACGCAGCTAGGGCTCTGCACCCCAATTGTGTAAATGAGATAGAGGCAGGGCCGGCTCCAGACACCAGCTTAACAAGCAGGTGCTTGGGGCGGCCAAGGGAGAGGGGTGTCACCTGCGGCAATTCGGGTGTGGCAGGTCCCTCACTCCCTCTAGGAGCGAAGGACCTGCCGCTGAACTGCCGCCGCCGATCGCGGTCTTTTTTTTTTTTTTTTTGTTTCGGCGT